CAAGTCACAGAGGGTGGAGTTGGAGTTCTGTGGGGAACCAAAGATGAATGGCAGCATGAGGAGTAAAGACACTCACTAGGTTAGACTGGCCTGTACCTTTAAATCCCCCCCCCCCCCCGCCCGCCGGCCTCCCCTCCGATTTTGCACAGGTGTATCGGCTCCTCCCCGCCAGTCTTGCACAGGTGTATCGGCTCCTCCCCCCGCCAGTCTTGCACAGGTGTATCGGCTCCTCCCCTGGACCGGCTTCCTCTGATGTCACTGCACACTCGGAGCTCCTCACAATGTGCATTAGAAGCTGCAGCCAGTCAGATAGAGCTCCACCTCATTTCCTGGCTGGAGGACGCCCGTCATCATCTAGCCCTCTCCTCTCCAGTCTGACTGTCCCTGGCCCCGCCCCTTTCTTTCGATGGAGTTCAGTTCTTTCCATCATGGAGGCTCAGCATCACATGTGGGCGTTACCTATGCAAATACACCCTGACCAGGAACGTCCACCCCTCCAGACTGACACCCACCCATGAAGGCATTTTAATATTTGCATAACTCCTTCCATCAGGGCTGAGGGTGCTTGACAGGAGAACTGAGGCAGGCTGTGATGTTTTTAGAAAGCTATGTACAGCCCCTCCCACCAGCCATGATCTGCTTGCGTTGCATAGAGAAGCACAGAGACCCAGTGATGACAAGTAATCTATGTATTGAAAATGGAGAGGTTGAATTTATGTTAATGAGGGGGGAGGGACCAGGAAAGGCAAAAATCTAAGCAGATTAAACTTGAAGGATGTTGGCAGTGTGATGATGTTTTCTGATTGGCTGGTTCTGGCGCAGTCGGTACAATGTACGAGGACAGAGGTCTTATTGTCGGGGACACGTGTCTGTGTGGAGAGATCACAGTTGTCACTGTATGCAGACGGGATGGAGTGACATGGGGGCCGTCCTATTGTTTCCTCTGTCGCCGCGCTGCGCGGGTGGTCGCTGATTCAATCCCGTACCGCTTAAAGCTGAACTCCGGGCGGATATAAATGAATGCAGCTCTGTCATCTGTAAATTTAGACGTCCCCGAATGTGACCCGCCTTGTGCAGTCCTGTACAGCAGAGCTCAGACGGGGGGAGGGAGAAACAGCAAACAGAGCCAGTCAGCTCAGGTGCTGACCAGAAGCAAGCTGATTGGAGGAGAGAGAGCAAGGCGGCTGTCTGAGCTCATCACTGTGCTACTTCTCCTTTCACTGTCCAATCACAGGCTGGGAGGAGGTGGCGGGACCTGGATGACCTGGGCTCAGAGAAAACAGGTTAAATGATGCCGGCCATTTAGTGGCAGAAGTAAGTACTGCGGGGGACATCTCTGGAGTGAAGGTGAAGATCGCAGCAGAAGCTGGCCTTGTTATGTTATTGTTTTATTCGGCCGCAGTTTTGCTTTAAATCCCCCCCCCTTCCCTCCCCCCCACAGCAGGATCATGAGTGGTGCGCTTTACCGCTGAATCACCCCGCAGATCTGATCTTTTGGACAGTCAGCTGACTTTTATTAATCCGATGTCCATCTCCCTCCTCCCCCGCCCTTCTTCTGGAGGAGAGGGACCTTCGTTCCCCTCGTCTCATCACATACTTGTCTCTGATCCTTTGATATCTTCACACTTGGCTGCCCCCCCCCCCCCCACACACTCTGAGCTTGGCACAGGGTGGGCCCCGAGTCTCCCCGGGGGCTGGAGGGGGCCATGTAGTAGATGGAAACCCAGACTGGATGATGTTTATTCTACTCCGAACGCCATAAACAATTGTCATTTTAATGAATATATTCTTCTTTTCATCCTTTGTTACTTCTCAGCACTGCTGATCTCCCGCAGCCTCTTCGCAGCCACTTTCTGCCTCCATGCGCTCCAGCGATGGCAGGTTTCCAACAGCAGATGTGTAACGGCCGCTTGTAGCGGGTGACAACGCGGGAGCACAATTGGAGGGGCAGGGACAGAGCGTTGTCACCCTACAACGGGAAGTGCCTGAACAAGGAGCGCAATGGCAGGATCAGCAGGAATCATTTTAATAGCTTTTAAAAATTATTCACACAAGATTTTGGTAGTATTTAGGTTCACATTGAGTTTAAAGCGTACCTGTCATATATGGAGGGCGGAAGAGAATTTGGTTGGGGGAAGACACACGCACATATATACAGATATATATAGATACACACATATACATACACATATACATACATACATATACATATACACATAATATAAAATACATACACAAAACAATATAAAAACATAATATACATAAAACACATTATTATTATTATACAGTATTTATAAAGCGCCAATAGTTCGCTCAGCGCTGTACATTACAAAGGGGGACAGAACATGTGACAGAACAATACCAATACAATTCAAAAACATGAGGGGATTGAGGGCCCTGCTCCTTGGAGCTTACAATCTAGGAGGGAGGGGATGGTGGTACAGGAGGAGATAGCTGTGGGGGATGGAGTGGTAGGAAGAGTGGAGGAGGTCGGCAAGTTAGCAGGGGGTGGGGTAGGCTTCCCTGAAGAGATGGGTTTTCAGGATGCGCCTAAAGGAGAGGAGAGTAGGTGATAATCTGATGGGTTGGGGCAGGGAGTTCCAGAGGATGGGTGACACCCTGGAGAAGTCCTGGAGGCGGGCATGGGAGGAGGAGACCAGGGAACTAGAGAGAAGGAGGTCTTGTGAGGAGCGGAGTGTGCGTGCTGGGCGGGTACTTGGATATTAGGTAGGTGATGTAGTTCGGGGCAGTATGGTGGACAGCTTTGTACATCAGTGTTAGGATTTTGAATTTGATCCGTTGCGCAATCGGAAGCCAGTGGAGGGATTGGCAGAGGGGGGTGGCGGAGACGGAGCGGTTGGAAAGGTGAATGAGTCTGGCAGCCGTATTCAGGATGGACTGAAGCGGGGATAGCCTGTGGCGAGTCAGGCCAGTGAGGAGGGAGTTGCAGTAGTCGAGTTGTGATATGATGAGGGAGTGGATGAGCTGTTTAGTGGTTTCTGGGGTCAGGAACGTGCGGATTTTGGCGATGTTGCGGAGGTGGAGTCTGCATGAGCTTGTTAAAGATTGGACTTGGGGCTGGAAGGATAGATTGGAGTCCAGAATGACACCAAGTACTCTGGCCTGCGGGGCGGGTTTGATGGTGGCGTTGTTGGATGTGATGGAGAAGTCAATGGGGGGTGGTGTCCGGGCTGGGGGGAAGACAAGAAACTCGGTTTTGGAGAGGTTCAGTTTAAGGAAGTGGAGCGACATCCAGTCTGATATGTCGCTCAGCAGGTGTGTGATTTGGGCAGAGACCGGGGGGTGAGGTGGGGGGTTGAGAGATAGATTTGTGTGTCGTCGGCATAGAGGTGGTAGTTGAAGCCGTGAGAGTGTATGAGTTGGTCAAGGGAGGAGGTGTAGATGGAGAAGAGAAGGGGCCCGAGGACAGAGCCTTGAGGGACCCCAACAGAGAGAAAGTGAGGGGGAAAAAAAAAAAAAGCATCATAGGTAACGCTGAAAAAGCGTTGTGACAGGTAGGATGAGAGCCAGGAGAGAGCAGAATCTCTGAGGCCGAGGGAGTGTAGTTTTTTGAGGAGGAGGGGGTGGTCGACTGTGTCGAAGGCCGCAGAGAGGTCAAGGAGTAGGAGCACTGAGTAATGGCCATTAGCTTTGGTGGTTAGCAGGTCGTTGGAGAGTTTGAGTAAGGCGGTTTCGGTGGAGTGTAAAAACGGAAGCCGGACTGTAGGGGATCGAGGAGGTTGTTGTCGTTGAGGTGAGAGCTTAGGCGGGTGTAGACGAGGCGCTCGAGGAGTTTAGATGTAAAATAAAAAAGCAGGGAGATGGGTCTGAGGTTTTTCGGGTCATTGGGGTCCAGGGAGGGCTTTTTAAGTATTGGGGTGATGTGTGCATGTTTCAGAGGGGAGGGGAAAGTGCCGGAAGAGAGGGAGAGATTGAAGATGTGGGTGAGGGAGCGTAGGATGGAGGGGGAGGGAGGTTGTAGGAGTTGTGAGGGGATAGGGTCGAGGGGGCAGGTGGTGAGGCGGGCATCAGAGAGGATCTTGGAGACTTCTTCGATGGTAGTACATACATACACATACATACATACAAACATACATACATACACACACATATACACATACAAAACATACACATATAAAAAACATACACATATATACAAAATAAACATACAAAACATACATACATACATACATAAAAAAAAAAAAAAATATACACATACATACATACAAAAAAACACACATATACACATACAAAACATACATAAAATAAAAAAAAAAAAAAAAAAAAACACATACATACATAAATACATAAACATATACACATACATACATACACACACACACATAAAAAACATACATACACACACACACACATATATATATATAAATATACATACACACACACACATATATATATATATATATACATACACACACACACATATATATACATACATACACATACATACATACATATATACATTCTCTCTCTCACACACACTCTCTGCTCCACCCATTTAGAGGGTCCCCATATTCCCTGGATTTTGAAGAATGCAGCGAGAGAAGTGAGACCACCCCACGGTGGGCAGGGCCAGGACTATGGCAGGGGGATTTGCTTCTGGAGCTGTAGGATGATCCTGGAAGCTAAGCAGGGTCGGGTCTGGTTAGTACTTGGATGGGAGACTGCCTGGGAATACCAGGATGTAGGCTTTAAAAAAAAAAAAAGCCAGTGGATGACTCCTCCCACTAGGCTCCACCCACAACTAAAATAGGAGCTTTGGGAGGACAAGCCCTTTAAATGAGTGTTCAGCCAGGTGTCGCTGTACTGTCTACCTGGTGACATCTGTGAGCTTAGGATGGGTCAGTGATGATCTTGTTTGTACCGGGGGCGGGTGGGGGGGGACAATGATTCCCAGTAAGAGGAAGCCCTCTCATAGATGGGGGGGATGTTCAGCTTCCATCGCCCCGCTTCTAATTGCACTTCTCTCCTTTCTCTCTTCAGGTGCGGGCGAGTCTGGCAAGAGTACAATCGTCAAACAGATGAAGTAATAATCCACTTTGTGATCCGTAATCTCACATAAGTCCCTTTCTTGGCTCTGCGCTCTGTTGGCGGCGGGGGGGGGGGGGGCCCATCAAATCACACATGATAAAGAAACGCCGGGAGAAGCCGGAGACCATGTGACCTTCACCCGCAAACTGTACCCGCCCAGTCCTGACCCCCTAAATCAGAATGATGAAATATAATGTCTGTAGAGTCCAGAACAGCAAATCTGATATTAAAGTATCAAAATGTAACAAATTCATGATAAATGATCTCATTGCGGCTCGGTTCACCTCTGTGCAGGGGGGGGGCGCCGCTGCGGATCTGCGCAAAAAATCCGTGCAACCGCCCTACCCGCCCAGAGAAATGCGGACCTGTAGTTCTAATGAGACGCCACCCACACTGGAAAACGCAACCGTACTGGGAACCTCGGCTGCGTTTTCGGAAGAAGTCCAGAGACATGGGAGTCCATTCAAATGAACGGGCTCTCGTACCCACGCAAAACGCACCCCGCATGGGTGATGCAAACCGGGGGTAAGGCTCCATTCACATTTGTGCGACTTCAAAACTTTTCATTGCGACTTTGGCTTTTACCAAGCAGGATTGTTTGTGCGCTACCAAGTCGCACAAAAGTTGCATGTGTATCCTTCAGGTGCGACTTTGGGGGGTTTACATTGAAGTCTATGGCCCTCAAGTTGCATGAAAGTCACATGAAAGTAGTGCAGGAGCTACAGATATGAATGGTACTCATTGGGTAAACATGGGGGTGCGACTTTGGACCCCAAAGTCGCATGACTGTGAATGGGCTCTAAATTTGATCTCCATTCCCTGGCTGGCACCAGCTCCTCTCCTGGACTGGAAGGACGCCCAATAATATCTAGCCCGCCATACCCCCCCCCCTTACAAACCTGACTTTCATGGAGGCTCATCATCACATGTGGGCGTTACCTAAATAAAGCCCACCTAGAAACACCCACTTCAAGGCAGACATCCAGCCAGCAAAGCATTGTTATATTTGCATAACTCCTCCCACTCCTTGCATTTAGACTGGGGGGCTCTTGAGAGGATGGCTGGGGGCTCTTGAGAGGAGGGCTGTACCCAGGGGCTCTTGAGGCATTTTTATATTTGCATAACTCCTCCATAAGGACTGGGGGCTCTCGAGAGGACTGGGGGCTGTTGAGAGGAGGACTGAGGCATGGTGGGTGTGATGTTTAAAGGAAGCTATCTACAGCCCCTCCCACCAGCCATGAGCTGCCTTAATTGCATAGAGAAGCACAGAGACCCAGTGATGACATCACTGGGTTGTAATGAAAGCAGGTTTTCATTTGCATGTTGATGGGGGAGGGGATATAAGCAGAAGAGTTTAGCTGGGGTGACCCCCTCCTGGTGGCCCGAGTGGTCCATCGAGTCTGCCCATTAACTTCTCAATCACATGATCCCCAACACATGACCACTGACATGATTGGCTGTCAGTGGTCACATGATAGGGACTCGACTGTGCGCTGTGTGGTCACCAAGCCCCGCCCTCCCTTCGGCCGCACAATGTTACATCAGAGGTTACAATGTAGTAACCGGAGATTCCCTAAACATGTTCCCCCGTTGCTCTCCGCTCCCCATTCGCCTGCAGTGAACAGAGCTCAGCGTCTCGGACTCCTCTGTGTCTTCTGTGATGTTTGTTGTTCGTTGTGATCTGTGAATATTCGTGGTGCCGGGCAGTCGGCTCATCATGTTCTCTCTCCCCCCCCCCCCCCCAGAATTATCCATGAGGACGGATATTCAGAGGAAGAGTGCCGGCAGTACCGCGCCGTGGTATACAGCAACACCATTCAGTCCATCATGGCCATCATCAAAGCCATGGGCAACCTGAAGATAGACTTCGGAGAGTCAGCCCGGGCAGTAAGTCATCGCACAAATACATACCCTGCAGAACTACAGATCCCAGCATGTCCCTCCAGCTGCTGTGCCGCTTCAGATCCCACCATGCCTTTCCAGCTTTTCAACTGCTGTGGAACTACAGATGCCACCATGCCCTTCCACCTCTTAAGCTGCTGTAGAACTACAGATGCCAGCATGCAATTCCACCTCTTCAGCTATTGTGGAACTACAGATCCCAGCATACCCTGCAACTGCTGTTGTGGAACTACAGATCTCAGCATGCCCTGCCAGCTCTGCAACTGCTGTTGTGGAACTACAGATCTCAGCATGCCCTGCCAGCTCTGCAACTGCTGTTGTGGAACTACAGATCCCAGCATACCCTGCAACTGCTGTTGTGGAACTACAGATTCTCAGCATGTCCTGCCAGCTCTGCAACTGCTGTTGTGGAACTACAGATCTCAGCATGCCCTGCCAGCTCTGCAACTGCTGTTGTGGAACTACAGATCCCAGCATACCCTGCAACTGCTGTTGTGGAACTACAGATCTCAGCATGCCCTGCCAGCGCTGCAACTGCTGTTGTGGAACTACAGATCCCATGCCCTGCCAGCGCTGCAACTGCCTACAGATCCCAGCATGCCCTGCCAGCGCTGCTGCTGTTGTGGAACTACAAATCCCAGCATGCCCTGCCAGCTCTGCAACTGGTTGTGGAACTACAGATCCCAGCATGCCCTGCCAGCTCTGCAACTGCTGTTGTGGGACTACAGGTCCCTGGCATGCCCTGCCAGCTCTGCAACTGCTGTTGTGGAACTACAGGTCTCAGCATGCCCTGCCACCTCTGCAACTGCTGTTGTGGGACTACAGGTCTCCAGCATGCCCTGCCAGCTCTGCAACTGCTGTTGAGCTACAGATCCCAGCATGCCCTGCCAGCTCTGCAACTGCTGTTGTGGGACTAAAGGTCTCAGCATGCCCTGCCAGCTCTGCAACTGCTGTTGTGGGACTATAGGTCTCAGCATGCCCTGCCAGCTCTGCAACTGCTGTTGAGCTACAGATCCCAGCATGCCCTGCCAGCTCTGCAACTGCTGTTGTGGGACTACAGGTCTCAGCATGCCCTGCCAGCTCTGCAACTGCTGTTGTGGAACTACAGATCTCAGCATGCCCTGCCAGCTCTGCAACTGCTGTTGTGAACTACAGATCTCAGCATGCCCTGCCAGCTCTGCAACTGCTGTTGAGCTACAGATCCCCAGCATGCCCTGCCAGCTCTAGCTAGTGGGGAACTACAAAATCCCAGCATGCATTGCCCATGCTGTGGAACTACAGATCCCAGTGCGCACTTTTTGAAGTTCGCTCTGGCACCTGACAGGCCGGACTGGTCATGTGACCCGGCCATGGCTTTGCGGGTGACGCGAGCTGCAGGCAGATCGACCGTTATTGCGATAAGATCAGTCATTTTATCTCATCAGGAAACCTCATGATGGAAAACGGTCGCGTGGAAAATTCGCCGCGAATATCTGGCGTCCCGTGTCCGCAGAGAGCTGAGCGCGCCTCGTTTTTTTATATCGTACAAAGTTTTCCGATCTTCACACGCAGGTCGGAGCGCGTTCACCGCGGAGTCACCTGACAGCCGCGCTCTGAGCTCCGTGTGTATCATGCAGATAATTAGCAGGTGGAGAGGCAGTCATCGGGGCCGGGATAATCTAATTAAGCGCGGATCCTGGGAGTCGGGCGCCCTCGTTAAGCTGAGTCCTCATTAAACTCCTCCCCGCAGGGAGCGCTGCGTCTCTCTGATCTCCTAACCGTTTCCCAGCACCAGAGTTAACCCTTTCCTGTGTCACCTTCCAGGATCTGCGCAGGTTTCCCCAGTGACGCCGCGGGTCTCCAACTCTTCCTTGTTGGGGGATTTTAGGTTGGCCAATCACAGAAGACTATGTAGAATGGAAATGAGATCTCTGCGTCCTGATTATGTAGAAAAGTTATCAAGTTCCCAAATTGCAACAAATGTTATACAATGTATCCAGCTACAGATATAAAGTATCCAAAAAAAGCGTGATTGCTGAAACGCACGAAGAGCGCAAGAAACAGTTCCCATTAGAATAGGCGGGGCCAGGAAGAGGGAAATCTGCTGCAACCAATAAATCACCATGTTGTGCGGAGCAGGGCCCCTCCCACATGTGACCGCCATTCTGATGGGCGCAGCATATGTTTGCCTCACTGCAGAATCGCAAGCAGATGGTGTGTTCCTGTAGGAGGTGCCCCCCTTCACCTGCTTCACCCAGATTTGGCCCCCCCCCCCCATGCACCCACTCTCCTTGTTTGAACCTCCTGCCCTTTACCTGCTTTCCTTCTGCCCCCCCCCCCCCTCCTCCCATTTGGTCTTCTTATGTCCCCCCCCCCCCCCCCCCCCCTCCATCTGCTGACAATTTGCTCCACCTATGCTCTCTTCTTCTGCCCCTCCTCCCACTTCTGTGTTCCCCCTACCTTACCTGCTCTCCTTGTTCCACCGCCTCCCACACCACACTCTCTTCTCTCCCCTGCCACCCTCTATCCTTCTGTTTCTTCACCATTCCCCCCCCCCCCCCCCCCCCCATCTTCCTCTCAGCTGCTCTCCTTGTGTCCTCTTTCTCACCCCCCCCCTCCATGCTCTCCTTTTATCCTTTAGTCTCACCCCCCCCCCCCCCTTCCCCCCACCACCCATCTTCCCCACAGTTGCTCACCTTGTGTCCTCTCTCTCCCCCCTTCTCCTTGTGCCCTCTCTCTCTCCCCCCACCACACTTCTTTGTGTGCCCCTCTCTCTCCCCCCCCTTCTCTGTGTGTCTCTCTCTCCCCCCCCTTCTTCTCCGTGTGCCCTCTCCCCCCCCCACACTTCTCCGTGTGCCCTCTCTCCTCCCCGCCCCCCCCCCCACACTTCTCCGTGTGCCCTCTCTCTCTCCCCCCCCCCCACACTTCTCCGTGTGCCCTCTCTCTCTCTCCCCCCCCCCACACTTCTCCGTGTGCCCTCTCTCTCTCCCCCCCCCCCACACTTCTCCGTGTGCCCTCTCTCTCTCCCCTCCCACACTTCTCCGTGTGCCCTCTCTCTCTCCCCCCTTCTCCACACTTCTCCGTGTGCCCCTCTCTCTCCCCCCCTCCACACTCCTCCGTGTGCCCCCTCCCCCCCACTCCCCCCCTCCCGTGTGCCCCCTCTCCCCCCCACCTCGCCTTCTCCGTGTGCCCCCTCTCCCCCCCCACCTCGCTTCTCCGTGTGCCTTCTCTCTCTCGCCCCCCCCTTCTCTGTGTGCCCCCTCTCCCCCCCCCCCCCCCCCTTCTCTGTGTGCCCCCTCTCCCCCCCCCCTTCTCTGTGTGCCCCCTCTCCCCCCCCCTTCTCTGTGTGCCCCCTCCCCCCCCCCTTCTCCCCCCCCCTTCTCTGTGTGCCCCCTCCCCCCCCCCTTCTCTGTGTGCCCCCCTCCCCCCCCCTTCTCCCCGTGCCCTCTCTCCCCTCATCCACTCTTCTTCTGTCTTTCCAGGACGATGCACGGCAGCTGTTTGCACTGGCCTGCACGGCGGAGGAGCAGGGTATATTGCCGGATGATTTGGCCGGAGTGATTCGCAGGCTGTGGGCAGACCAGGGTGTCCAGGCCTGCTTCAACCGTTCCCGGGAGTACCAGCTGAATGACTCTGCGGCATAGTGAGTACCACCGTCCCTTCATGTTGTATACATGACATGCAAATCGCTATTCCAACACCTGCAATGGTACGGAGACCTCCGCCCACTGTGCTCCCCACCTGTATATACCGAGCCCTCCGCCCACTGCACTCCCCACCTGTATATACCGAGCCCTCCGCCCACTGCACTCCCCACCTGTACACACCCGAGCCCTCCGCCCACTGCGCTCCCCACCTGTACACACCGAGCCCTCCGCCCACTGCGCTCCCCACCTGTACACACCGAGCCCTCCGCCCACTGCGCTCCCCACCTGTACACACCAAGCCCTCCGCCCACTGCGCTCCCCACCTGTACACACCGAGCCCTCCGCCCACTGCGCTGCCCACCTGTATACACCGAGCCCACTGCACTCCCCCACCTGTATATACCGAGCCCTTCGCCCACTGCGCTCCCCACCTGTACACACCGAGCCCTCCGCCCACTGCGCTCCTTGTTTGAACCTGTACCTGTACACCTGAACCCCACCTGTACACACCGAGCCCTCCGCCCACTGCGCTCCCCACCTGTACATACCGAGGGCTCGGTATGTACAGGTGGGGGAGCGCAGTGGGCTCGGTGTGTACAGGAGGGGGCAGCGCAGTGGGCGGAGGGCTCGGTGTGTACAGGTGGGGAGCGCAGTGGGCGAGGGGGTTGGTGTGTACAGGTGGGGAGCGCAGTGGGCGGAGGGCTCGGTGTGTACAGGTGGGCAGCGCAGTGGGCGGAGGGCTCGGTGTGTACAGGTGGGGAGCGCAGTGGGCGGAGGGCTCGGTGTGTACAGGTGGGGAGCGCAGTGGGCTCGGTGTGTACAGGTGGGGAGCGCAGTGGGCGGAGGGCTCGGTGTGTACAGGTGGGGAGCGCAGTGGGCGAGGGGTTGGTGTGTACAGGTGGGGAGCGCAGTGGGCGGAGGGCTCGGTGTGTACAGGTGGGGAGCACAGTGGGCTCGGTGTGTACAGGTGGGCAGCGCAGTGGGCGGAGGGCTCGGTGTGTACAGGTGGGCAGCGCAGTGGGCGGAGGGGCTCGGTGTGTACAGGTGGGGAGCGCAGTGGGCGGAGGGCTCGGTGTGTACAGGTGGGGAGCGCAGTGGGCGGAGGGCTCGGTGTGTACAGGTGGGGAGCACAGTGGGCTCGGTGTGTACAGGTGGGGGCAGCGCAGTGGGCGGAGGGCTCGGTGTGTACAGGTGGGGAGCACAGTGGGCTCGGTGTGTACAGGTGGGGAGCGCAGTGGGCGCGAAGGGCTCGGTATATACAGGTGGGGAGCGCAGTGGGCGGAGGGCTCGGTATATACAGGTGGGGAGCGCAGTGGGCGGAGGGCTCGGTGTGTACAGGTGGGGAGTGCAGTGGGCGGAGGGCTCGGTATATACAGGTGGGGAGCGCAGTGGGCGGAGGGCTCGGTATATACAGGTGGGGAGCGCAGTGGGCGGAGGGCTCGGTGTGTACAGGTGGGGAGTGCAGTGGGCGGAGGGCTCGGTATATACAGGTGGGGACGCTGGAGCGCAGTGGGCGGAGGGCTCGGTGTGTACAGGTGGGGAGCACAGTGGGCTCGGTGTGTACAGGTGGGCAGCGCAGTGGGCGGAGGGCTCGGTGTGTACAGGTGGGGAGCGCGCAGTGGGCGGAGGGCTTGGTGTGTACAGGTGGGGAGCGCAGTGGGCGGAGGGCTCGGTGTGTACAGGTGGGGAGCGCAGTGGGCGGAGGGCTTGGTGTGTACAGGTGGGGAGCGCAGTGGGCGGAGGTCTCCGTACCATTGCAGGTGTTGGAATAGCGATTTGCATGTCATGTGTATTTCCAAAATGCAAATCGGTGACATCTTCCATTTTCCGGCACGTGCTCCTTTAACCCCTCGTGGCCCTGATGGCTCTTTGTTGGAGTGTATTACAGGAAAACTTAATTTGCTCCTTTTGGCTGCGATTCTCTGATCATTGACGTCGGAGTTTCTGTCGCATTTATCATCCTAATACTCTGAATGCGGCAAAAGATTAGAAAGTCGGCAACCCACTATCCAATGACCACCCACCTCCTGCACTTCCTATTGGCCCAGCATGACAACAAATAGCCAGTTATCTCAGCCAATAGGGAAGCGGGGGGGGGGGGGGGCGTGTCAGCTGTCGACTTTGCTAAGAAGTGTCAGAATTTTTCATATTGGAGACTCCAGGTTTTCTACCGCCTTTGAAAAGCCGTCATTACTGACTGGTTCCCTTTAAATCTCAGTGTCCCCCTTCCATGGTGTTTCCATCCTTCATTTGCCTGGCGCGGTGCGGCATTCCCCCCCCCCCAGCCGAAGGCGGTTAATGGGATTATGCAAAACACAGTTTGCATAAACAGCCAAGCTCCATGTAAGGGGATCCTCCCGTGTTTTCTGGTGACATGAGTCTTCCAAACAAAAATAAAATATGCAAAATATCCCCCCCCCCCCATGGAGTAGTTTCCTGCCCCGTCCCGCCTGTGTTCCATGCAAAGACACGTGTGACTCAGTTTGTTCACCGCCCTCCCCGCATGGAAAGTCCTCTCCGTGATTTTATTGTATACAATTCTGGCTGGGGTTTACCTGTGCACAGGTGTGACGTCTCAATGTGAATCTGAGACGGATCGCTCTCTGCAGAAGATCTGTCCTACCATTGACAGCAGAGCGATGCTTCAAGTTGCCCTTCACATAGTCTGCCATGGAACGGGAGCCAGGCCAAATCCCAAAACTTTAACCCCTCGCCTACAGGGCACTTCTACCCCCTTCCTGCCTACCGGGCACTTCTACCCCCTTCCTGCCTACCGGGCACTTCTACCCCCTTCTACCCCACTTCTACCCCCTCCTGCCTACCGGGCACTTCTACCCCCTTCCTGCCTACCGGGCACTTCTACCCCCTTCCTGCCGACCGGGCACTTCTACCCCCTTCCTGCCGACCGGGCACTTCTTTCCTGCCTACCGGGCACTTCTACCCCCTTCCTGCCTACCGGGCACTTCTACCCCCTTCCTGCCTACCGGGCACTTCTACCCCCTTCCTGCCTACCGGGCACTTCTACCCCCTTCCTGCCTACAGGGCACTTCTACCCCCTTCCTGCCTACAGGACACTTCTACCCCCTTCCTGCCTACAGGGCACTTCTACCCCCTTCCTGCCTACAGGGCACTTCTACCCCCTTCCTGCCTACAGGACACTTCTACCCCCTTCCTGCCTACCGGCAGGATAGGTGCCACTGATAGGTGGCACTGACGGGCGGCACTGATTGGCATTGATAGGTGGCACTGAAAGGCAGCTCAGGTGGGCACTGATAGGTGGCATTGATGTGACACTGATGGACACTGACAGGTGGCACTGCTGGGGCTACACAGATCATCAGGGCACACGGATCATCAGTGCCCTGATGATCAGTGTACATGTCCCCTCTGAGGAATGCCGATTACCGGTTCTCCTCTCCTCTCCTCTGTCAGCGTGACAGCTCGTGGGGAGAGAAATGCTGATAACCGGCATTTCCCTATTTACATGTGATCAGCTCTGATTGGATGCAGCTGATCACATGACCGATCCGACATCTTCGGCTCTTTCCATTGATCGGTGATCCACTGTGTCCGAGGGACACAGCGCACCGCCGATCGCCGCGCGCCCCCGGAGCCGCGCTTGGCGGTTATAATGGGAGAACGTCATATGAGAGACCCACCTTGTGCCCATCATTGTACTATATGGAGGGCGGGAGGCGGTTAAAGGGATTCTCTCCAGATTCATCAATCGCAGACCCTCCCTCATAACCGGGCCTGGGCAATCCCTCAAGGCCAATGGCTCGCTAAAGGCAGATTCAACAACCCTCCTCTCCAGGGCCTTCCTAGGAAGAGACTAAATTTCCTCCGCCGTCACTCGCCATTGCCGAAGCATTTTCAGACATGGGGCAACATAAGCCGGGAGCTCACCATGTTGGACCCTCAGGCTTTTCACTGGCCCACCATTCTCCCAGCTCCGCAGAAAATGCCTAAACCAGGACTGAAAAATGCCAACCCACCCAGGCGGTTCCTCTGCCAGCATGCTACCAAAAGTATGTTTCAAATATATCAGAGAAAAGAAAACCACCGGGTTGACCATACCTAGGCACCCATCCGCCTGGGAAGGTAGGTTACAGACCTCTTAATGAGGTTCAGTTTGTGCCCCCATAACAGCTGGAAGAAACAACTGTAGATCCTCGCATAGAGAGACACTGGCAAAACACAGGCAAAGCTGACATACAGAAATACCGGGATCAGGTAAGTTTTAATCAGGTTAATCCTTTCCCTGTAAGAGAGTTTCCAATCCTTCCAGCTGGCCACCTTGGCATCGGCATCTTGTAGCCTGCTTACCCAATTTACAAGGCCGTAATCACCGGGACCAAATCTGATGCCTAAAACTTTAATCTCCTGCTGGGGCTCTGGGAAGGTGCCCAGAAGGGTAAAGCCTTCGCCTTCCTCTCCCATCCAGAAACCTCACTCTTATCCTGACTGATCTTTGAGCCAGAGGCCTCAGCATACTGTTCCATCACCGAGACCACCTCCTCCGCCTCCTGCCTCAGCATACTGTTCCATCACCGAGACCACCTCCTCCGCCTCCTGCCTCAGCATACTGTTCCATCACCGAGACCACCTCCTCCGTCTCCTGCCTCAGCATACTGTTCCATCACTGAGACCACCTCCTCCGTCTCCTGCCTCAGCATACTGTTCCATCACTGAGACCACCTCCTCCGTCTCCTGCCTCAGCATACTGTTCCATCACTGAGACCACCTCCTCCGTCTCCTGCCTCAGCATACTGTTCCATCACTGAGACCACCTCCTCCACAGCATACTGTTCCATCACCAAAACCACCTCCTCCGCCTCCTGCCTCAGCATACTGTTCCATTACCGAGACCACCACCTTCTCCCACCTCCTGCCTCAGCGTATGTGTTCCATCACCGAGACCACCGTCCTCCGCATACTGTTCCATCACTGAGACCACCTCCTCTGCCTCCTGCGTCCCGGAGATGAAAACAGACACGTCATCAGCATAGGCCACGACCCTCAGAGGGGGCTCCCAGGAATGCCCAAAGGAACTCCACACAACGGTCCGCTCTCTAACCTCCCAATGAAGGGATCGATTACAAACGCATATAGCAGAGGACTCAAAGGATGTACACCTGAGCCAATCTCAAAGGGCCGTCCAATCCAACCATTCACAAGCATGAAGCTTTCAGCCCCTCTGTATAAAGTCTTTAGCCAATCGATGAAGCCCCCCTCCCAGGTCATACTTGCCAAGAAGCAGCCATAGGTACTCATGATTGAGTCGATCAAAGCTTTGGTCTGATCCAATGCCAGCAGGAACTTTCCCCAGCCTGCAGCCCTGCACAGCTCCAGGGCCTCCCGGACAGCTAACACCGCTGAAAAGTGCTTCTTCCCTGAACCGAACAGTGCTGATGGCGAGAAAGTAAATTGCCCGCAACAGACGATAAACGCCAGAAAATTATCTTTGCCAGTATCTTTCTATCAACATTGAGAAGGCTAATGGGCCACCAATTCTCAATTCTCGAGGAATCCTTACCCTTTGACAGAAGAATCACTGCAGATTGTCGCATGGAGGGAGAGAGCGAACCCTCTCTCAGACAGCCATTAAACACCTCCACCAAATATGGGGCCAGAGTCACCTTGAAGTGCTTATAAAACTCGGCTGTCAATCCATCTGGCCCAGGCGACTTCTTCATGGCAAGCTGATCAATAGCTTTCACCACCTCATCTGCCGTGATGTCCTCTGTCAAACTCACAGGAGAACTGCCATTTCCCAGTCCTGGAATAGAGTCTAGAAAACCCAACATGCACGCCCGATCAAGGTCCCTCCTACCCAGGACTCACAAGAGAACTGCCATTTTCCCAGTCCTGGAGTCCAAAAAACCCAACATGCTCGCCCGATCAAGGTCCCTTCTACCCAGGACTCACAGGAGAACTGCCATTTCCCAGTCCTGGAGTCCAAAAAAACCCCCAACATGCTCGCCCGATCGAGGTCCCTCCTACACAGGAGGTCAGCATAATATGACCTGGAGGTTTCCAGGACCCCGACTTGGACTTGGTCAGGGAACCCGTACTGTCAACCAGGCCTACAACTGACTTAACTGCTCTACCTTGTTTGCAGTTCTGGTAAGGGTCGGGCGAGTGATATTTCCCATAAATCCCTTTCCAGAACCAAAGAGGCATGCCTGTCATTTGACACTGCCTGAGCAAGAGTTTAACCTCAGAGATCGCCCCCCGATCTCCATTATTCGAGACAAGCCGATCGAGCTTCCTCCGCAAGACGCTGGTTAGGTGACATACTTATCAAGCTGTTTATTCTTTCTATGGCCTTGAAAAACCCAACGATCCTTCGTTTTGTAAGCTCCCACCACTGGATCTACTACTGCTGCAAATGTCCATGATTGATACCTGTGCCTGAAAAAAATCCTCAATAGATTGACTCCCCTTCTCATCGTCCAGGAGTGCCGAATTCAGCTTCCAGGTACCCCTCCCCTTAGGTGGTGTATCGAGGCCACTCAGAGTCACAGACAGAATACAGTGATCGGAAAACTCCACCGCCTGACATACTGGTGCTGAGAAGGCGGAGTTCCCCCTTTAAAAAAAACCTATTCTACTCTGACTAGTACCTCGCTGAAAAGTGAATCCCGTGTCGTGCCTGGCAGCAATGAATGTGCACATCAACCAGACCTGCCTCTCTAGCCGTCGCAGTCCAGCCTGGCTCCGGACCTTTCCTGTCCTTAGTCCTATGTGAGGGTGTTAAAGTCACACCGAAGACAACTTGCTGGGTTGTAAAAAGGAAAGGCCTTGATCTTCATGAAGAGGCATTTCCTGTCCCATTTTGTCTGGGGCCCATAGATGTTAATCAGGCGCAGGTCCTGCCCCCCCATGGAGACGTCTAAGACCATGCATCTCCCTATTTCTACCTCAATAATCCGCCGACAGGTTACCCATGGCGGAAAAAAAGTACCGCAACTCCAGTGTAAGGCTCGGCCGCAAGAGACCAGAAGGAGGGGCCCGCGTTCTCCACTCCTTCGCCATATGAATATCTTCCAAACTGGACAACCTGGTCTCTTGCAAAAAGAAAATGTCAGCATCAAACCTGCTATCTCTGTCCACCACCAACTTCCTGACCGGGGGAGCACCTCCACCTTCCCACCTGAGCTGCACCACATTCTGCCACCTGAAAGATAGGGGTGCAGATGGCAGACCTGCAGCGGACCTCCCCCCACAGCTGACAGTCTGATGTGACCCCGCTCTCCCAGCCAGAGCCCAGCATAGGTTTTATTTGCAGCATTAGGACCCTCTTTAGGGCCACAGCCAAGGTCTTCAGGTGTAGGTGAAGCTTGGGAGGACAAGCTGGGTCCTCAGGGGGAACATGGCCTGGGCCTTTCCCTGAAACATTCATCTTGCTGGAGCGAGGCAAGCAGGCCTGGCCCCCTAGTGTCTGGAGAGAGAGAGAGAGCAACTGCACAAGCAAACTCTCTGGTGCAGAGGACTGATGAGCCTGTGGGGAAGGGGGGGGACATTAGAGCGTCAGCTCCTCCGGCGCAGAGGACTGATGTGGACTGTGGGGGGAGGGGGCATTAGAGTGTAAGCTCCTCTGGTACAGAGGACCGATGTCTGTGGGGGAGGGGACATTACAGTGTTAAGCTCCTCTGGCACAGAGACTTGATGTGACTGTGGGTGGGGGGACATTAGAGTGTAAGCTCCTCTGTACAGTAGGTCGGTGGGGGGGGGGCGGAGTTCTTGGTATCTTCCATGTTGTCTGTCCGTTGAACATTGCGCACACAGGAGGGTGTCGGTTCGGCCATCTTGTACGCTCCTGGTTGTTGTGGTTCCCAGGTGGAATCACGGCGTCCTCGGGGGTCTCGTTTGTGGGGGGGTCCCCGCGGGGTTCTCGTGGTAAATGGCTGTGTACATAATCAAGCTATTTTTTTCCCGGTAGTCAGTACAGCGCAGCCAGCAGCTGTGTAAATGGTTCATTAGACATCTTAACGAGGCCAAATCAATATTAATTAGCGGGGTGGTAAGTGAGGGGACCCTCTTGGGGTTTCTATTGTTCGGAAGCAGCGCGTTCTCCTGAGAGACGTCGAACAAGTTGAGGCTTGGGCCGCGAGAACTGCTGACGCAGGCGCACGCCTTCCAAGTGTGTACCGTCAGCTCAGGACGGTGGATTCCGCCTCCTAGTGACAGGTGGGGATCATTACACTTCACATTTCTTCTACTCTCCATGTGAGATCATTTGTCCTGGTTTGCTATATAGTCATTTATTATAGTAAGTATTTAAAGAGGACCTGTCATTGGATATATATTTCCATGTTCATCGTATGTCAGTGTAAACGCCTTCAGGTATTTTTTACCCTCTCAGAGATTGCAGTTTTCCCCCTGACAATCCCTTCATCTGATTTCTCTCCAGAAGTTCAGTGCCATCTTTTCTTCAGGCATCATCTAGGGTCAAGAGCGTATCTCCTTGGTCTGAGATGTCGGCTCAGAATTGATTGACCATACTGTTTCTTGGCTCGCTTCTTGGCTGTGTTTGCAATTGCCTGACACAGGTCAGCCCCTGCTGCAGCCACTCGTTATAATATTGCCAGTCTGATCACTGGGGGAGGGGGAGACCTGGGGAAATGCTTCCTCCTCCTCCTACAATGTTACAGTGTACAGTCTGATCACTGGGGGGGGGGGGGGAGACTGGGGAAATGCTTCCTCCTACAAAGTTACAATGTATAGTCTGATCATTGGGGGAGGGGAGACTGAGGAAATGCCTCCTCCTCCTTGTACAAAGTTACAATGTACAGTCCCGATCACTGGGGGGAAGGGAGACTGGGGAAATGCTTCCATCCTCCTTCTACAAAGTTACAGTTGTACAGTCTGATCACTGGGGTAGAGGGGAGGGGACTGAGGAAATGCTTCCTCCTGCCTTCAGCAGATGATGACATCATCCCAGTCAGGCAAAAGTCACTGACTGGAACTCAGTGATAAAAGGTAGAGAGCTTTTTGATTAATGCTCCTGTTGCCATATATTGGGGCGTGTCCGGTAAATTTATATGGCAGCTCAGACTCGGAGATCTGTAGAGTTACTGACAAGTCCCCGTGGAGAGCAGGCGCGGCAAATAGCAATACGCAGTACACAGATGAATGTGGTGAAGGTCGCTCACACTGCACAGGTACTCTTTAAATCTGCTGACGTAATGATTTATGTAAATACCGATAACACCTTCTCTCCTCTCGCAGTTATCTCAAATGACCTGGAGCGAATCGCACGGTCGGATTTACGTGCCGACGCAGCAGGACGTCCTGAGGACGAGATTGTGAAGACCACGGGGATTGTGGAGACGCATTTCACTTTTTAAAGACCTTCATTTCAAGTGAGTGCAGCCCGGCAATGCGTGATCGTCCCATCGCCATTTGTAATGTGAAGAGGATTGGTGACGATGGCAGCGGTGCGTGTCCAGAGATGTTACAATATAAAGTCACACGTGATGACGTCTATGGGCCAATTGACCATTTTGACCGCTGTGCTGCAAAAACTGTTGATGAGAGACCTGAAAAGAGGGAAAAGGCGGTTCTCCTCTAATCATGTGACCAGCAGCACGGCGGAGAATTGTCCTTGAAAAGAGGGCCTCTTTAGGGTCGGTTCGGTCAGACCTTTGCCTGACGACACGCAGAGAAATGCACTGCACTTTAACAGATGCACGACTGTGTCCATTAATTGTTAATGGCAGCCCCCCCCCCCCACTATTCTTCTCCCTCCCACCCCTTTCCTGACGCCTCTCCCTCCCACTCCTTCCCCGACGCTACTCCCCTTCCCCAACGCTGCTCCCCGCCCACCCCTCTTCCCCGACGCCTCTCATTTCTCCCCACCACCCCTCTTCTCCGACGCCTCTCCCCTCCCCCCCACCCCTCTTCCCTCCCCGCCCACTCCTCTTCCCACGACGCCCCCTCCCCTCCCTCCCGCCCTCTTCCCTGACGCCACTCCCCTCCCGCCTGCCCCTTCCCCGACGCCGTGCTCTTCCCACCCACCCCCTCTTCCCCGACGCAGTACAGGTGCTACTGCTCCTGCAGTATGGGGTGCGTCCTCTTAACATCTATGGGTCATTAGTGCTTTGGCAGCAGCCTGGCACTAGATTTATGATATATGGTTATCGTGACCTGGGTAAGGGGATAGAAAGGGGAAAGTGGGTGTGTATGGCCAGCTTGGCCTGGATAAGGGGGGGGGGGGAGAGAGGCGGGGGGGGGGGGGTCATCTTGGCCTGGTTTAAGGGATAGGGAGGGGAAGTGCAGGGGGTAGGCGTATGGTCAGCTTGACCTGGTTTGGGGCTAGAAAGAGGAAGTGGTCGTGTATGGTCAGCTTGGCCTGGTTAAGGGGCTAGGGAGGGGAAGAGGTAGGGGGGGTGTATGGTCAGCTTGGCTTGGTTGAGGGGGGTTTATTAAGTGAACTTTAAAACAATAACAATACATATGTATGGGAAGAGAAGTTAATTATGTAGCAATCAGAAAGCAAAATTCCTGTGCAGGAAGTCAGCTGTGTCCCGGGAAATAACTTCCCCCTTAATCCTCACTTGGCACCAGCATATACATCGAGGCCTTTTCTGGGTCCCCCAAACCCTGGGTTTGCCTGGTGAGTGGATAACAATTCCAAGGCAAGGCTCAGTCACACCCGCCGGCCTCCCACAGTGTAATGCCAGCACCTCTGTGACCCGCTCAGACGTTGCATTGCATTATGGGAACACGTTGGCGTGCCTGGGATCCCACTGAAATAAATAAGAAAATAAACAGATCGGAGACAAAATGGAGACGCTCACGCTTAATTTTCCATACGGTGTCTGTGCGGTGCCACCCCGTGGGCACACTGAGAACTGCACCATCTGCGGCTTCCTCTGCGCTCATTGTCGCCCCGCGTCCTGTTTATCTCATGAAGTTTCTGGGTGGAGCTGAGAAGATGATCGCAGTTTGCTTTTTTAGTCTTTATCAGATGATCTCCCCGATGATTGTATCCTCACAAATAAAACATCTCCGTGTTGCTCCAGCGCGGCATTAATTCTACAGACACGTCTGCCAATCAGAAACCAGTATGGAAAGCGGCATAAAAAAGAAAAACTTTCTCTATAAATGTGACATCAGCTGCCCAATGTCATTCTATAAATGGATTCATTCAAATCTAATTTAACCCCTTCCTGACTTGTGGGTAGTTCATAACCCCAAATATTTTCATAATTTTCCGAATGATGAGAATTATTTTTAGCCGAGTGCTTCATCCTGTATTCATTATGTCGATCGATCTCCTCCATCCGCTCTATTCGTTCTAAAGTTGTATCTTTTGTAGGAGATTAATTACAAGGAGAAATTCCTGAAATGGATTTGCTCATCTTACCTCCAGATATAAATACTTATTTCCAACAATTCATCTTTCGTTCTTTCCGTCAATTTCTTTTCTTTCTTCTTTTTCTTTCCTTTTATTTTCCTTTTTCTTTTTTTCCCCCTTTCTTTTCCCTCTTTCGTTCTTTACATCAATTTCCTTTTTCTTTTCCTTTTTTTCTATTTTTTCTTTTTTCCTTTTCTTTTTTTCTTTTTTTTTTCCCTTTTTCTCTTTCATTCTTTTTGTCACTTCCTTTTTATTTTCCTTTTTATCCCCCTTTCTTTTCCCTTTTTTCTCTCTTTCGTTCTTTCCGTCAATTTCTTTTTCTTTCCTTTCTTTTCCTTTTTTCTATTTTTCTTTTTCCTTTTTCTTTTTTTTTTTTCTCCTTTTTTCCCTTTCATTCTTTTCATCACTTTTTTTCTTTCCTTTCCTTTTTCTTTTCTTTTTTTCCCTTTTTCTTTTCCCTTTTTCTCTCTTTTGTTTTTTCCATCACTTTCTTTTTCTTTCCCTTTTTTTCAATTTGCTTTTTCTTTTTTCTATTCTTTCTCCTTTTTTTTTTCTATTTTTTCCCCCCTTTTCTTTTTTTCCCCCTTTTTCTTTTCCCCTTTCCCTTTTTCTTTTTTTCCCCCCTTTCTCTATACATCTGCATGATGTTCAATATATAGTAATAATGAAGGGTGTGCTATTAGTAATGGGGGGTATTAACAATTATGGGCAGGCATTGATAGGGGGTGCGTTAATATGGGTGGGGGGTTATTAGTGTGTGTGGGGGGGAGGTGTAATTAATTGGGAGGGGCGTTATTAATATGGGTGGGGGATGGGAGGCTGTTATTAGTAATGGAGATGTGTTATTAATGAGAGTTGTGTCAATATTGAGGGGTGTTATTAGCAGGAGGATCTGTTATTAGGGGGAGGGGGGTGTTATTCATTTTCGGGGTGTTATGATTATTATTTGGGGGTTGTTCATAATGATGGATGTGAGTGTTAATAATAATGGGAGGTGTTACTAAAAATGTGGGAGTTGCAATACATGAACATCCAGTATGGACCGCCCCTTCTCTTCAGAATGCATGATCCTACCTTGGACCGTTTGTGATGTATCCAGGGGGATATCGATTGTTTTGTAAGAGTCGGGACAATGCGGACAGAGATGTGGGATCGTCCATTTGGATAGAAGGACCTCACAATGCTGGACATTCATGTACTACACAACCCCTGTTATTTACACTTCATATTTAACCTCTTTGCTGCCACCATACATTTATAAATGGCATTGGGGAAAGCACTCTTAAGCAGCGATTGCCCCCATTAATGGCCATCATTGTACACAGACACTGTACAGGACCGATCTGATAGACTCTGTACCATGTGATGGCTGTAATTGGTCAAGACCGTTTACATAATTGATCCCTTCTGTTTCTTTTACAATTGGGAAAGGATAGAAAATGGGTGAAATAAATGAATGGGTCAGTCAGCAGATCATTCAGGGTGAAGGATGTTGGGATTGTTTTTAACCCTTTCAACCCGTTCTTTACACCTGCTGTTTATGTATGACCTGCCTGTGACAGGTCCTCTTTTATCATGAGATTCTTCATCAGATACAGCGTGAGTCCTCAACATGCTGTAACCTTCCTGACTCTTTTTTTGCAGAATGTTCGATGTCGGTGGACAGAGGTCCGAGCGTAAGAAGTGGATCCATTGCTTCGAGGGAGTGACGGCCATCATTTTCTGTGTGGCTCTCAGTGCCTACGACCTCGTCCTGGCAGAAGATGAGGAGATGGTGAGCAGATGTGTGATGGGCCCCCGTGTGGGATGGGGCCTCTATAGTATTTGCTGTTGTGAACAAATAAAACTTATAATAACCCCCCCTCCAGGAGGTCGTTTTCTCTGTGTTATTAAGGGTGGAAAATGGTTATAGCTGAACCCCAGACCCTTAAAATGTTATCCTACACTTCCCTTACCCCAACCTCAAGAAAAAAAAAGGGGGCTTTTATTTTCCTGCAAGTTACTTCGTGAATAAAAATCATTTAATGTGACATCATCATCATTCGTATATATATCTGACTGCTGGTGGTAGGGGACTTTGAGGTGGCCAACATCACATCCTTTTCCCAATTGGCCACCACATTGAACTACATGATGCTTTGGGGCATTAGCAATGGGTGGGCATGGATAAGGCAACCCCTCTCTGCACTGACCCCCATGTTGCTGTATTTTATATCTGAGCATTCTCTTTACAGAATCGGATGCACGAGAGTATGAAATTGTTTGACAGCATCTGCAACAACAAATGGTTCACGGAGACCTCCATCATCCTCTTCCTCAACAAGAAGGATCTGTTCGAGGAGAAGATCACACAGAGCCCCCTCACCATCTGCTTCCCCGAGTACACTGGTAAGATGTCTGCCGCGTGTTCCATACAGATCCCGCAATCATACCCGGTGCCCCGGGATAGCCTTGTGTTACATGGAACCATGTCATGCAGAACTGAGAAGAAAAAGGAGTTGGCTCTCTGAAACCCTTCAACTGGCATTTTATATCTTTATTAAATTTTACACCTTCCACTATTACGGAGGTCCTCCCCAGCCATGGCCATTGATGGGAGAGTTTCCCCCCGCCATGGCCATTGAATGGGGAGTTTCCCCCCCGCCATGGCCATTGAATGGGGAGTTTCCCCCCCGCCATGGCCATTGAATGGGGAGTTTCCCCCCCGCCATGGCCATTGAATGGGGGTTTCCCCCCGTCATGGCCATTGAATGGGGAGTTTCCCCCCCGCCATGGCCATTGAATGGGGAGTTTCCCCCCCGCCATGGCCATTGAATGGGGAGTTTCCCCCCCGCCATGGCCATTGAATGGGGAGTTTCCCCCCCGCCATGGCCATTGAATGGGGAGTTTCCCCCCCCCGCCATGGCCATTGAATGGGGAGTTCCCCCCCCCCGCCATGGCCATTGAATGGGGAGTTTCCCCCCCCGCCATGGCCATTGAATGGGGAGTTTCCCCCCCCCCCCGCCATGGCCATTGAATGGGGAGTTTCCCCCCCCCGCCATGGCCATTGAATGGGGAGTTTCCCCCCCCCCCCCGCCATGGCCATTGAATGGGGAGTTTCCCCCCCCCCCATCCCCCCCCCGCCATGGCCATTGAATGGGGAGTTTCCCCCCCCCCCCCCCCCATCCGCCATGGCCATTGACGGGGAGTTTCCCCCCCCCCCCCCCCCCTCCCCATGGCCATTGACGGGCAGTCCCCCCCCCCCCATGGCCATTGACGGGCAGTTGCCCCCTCACCATGGCCATTGATGGGCAGTTGCCTCCGCCCCTGCCATGGCCATTGATGGGGACTTGCACCCCACCATGGCCATTATTGTGGAGTTGCCCCCACCCCCGCCATGGCCATTGATGGGGAGTTGGCCCCCTTTGTGGCTATAACATCCTCCACTCTTCTGGAAACACTTTCCACAAGATTTTGGAGTTTGTGGGAATTTGTACTCATTTGTGAGGTCAGGTACTGACGTTGGATGAGAAGACCTGGCTTGCCATTGGGGAGTCCATCACAAACCTGCTCAGTAGGGTTGAGGTCAGGGTTCTCTAGGACACTTGAGTTCCTCCACACCAAACTGGACAAGCCATTTCTTTATGGAGCTGGCTTTGTATACAGGGGCACAGTCATGGTGGAATAGGTCTTCACCAAACTGTTATCACAAGGTTGTCTGCAATATCTTTTTTATGATGGAGTATTACCAGGACCCTTCACTTGAGACTCCATTATTTAGTGGGGGTCCACCTACTTCAAATTTGAGTTTACAGATTGGTGACGAATAGCGATGTCTGAAGGGTGGTTTTTTCCCCTCCCTATGCCATCCTTTGTCACCATCCTGGAGGCCTGTTTAGCAGTGAGGAGGTTCAGCTGCCATCATGGCTATCCTGCAGTACAGAAAAGATGGAAGGACAGAGTTTTGCTCCAACTGAGCCTACTGGAGGAATGTTCTCCATCTATAATGACCTTCAATGATTTAACAAGTTGAATATTTCCATGGGTGCCATCCCACCAGATGAATATCTGCAGCTCCTAGGATGGCATCCAGCATGACCAAAAGCCCCATGTGACGAAGGTCGGCTGAGCTTGCTGTAATTGGCTTTCATCCACATTGGGTTCAGAGCCCTCAATCTGAACCTTTTTCAGGCAGCCGAGGCTTGCTTCAAGCGAGGAAATCTCTTCTGATGGGTTCTCAGTCGTCGCGGGCTGGATCTGGCCCAGGCGTTCTGGGATCTGATGGTTGGAAGTGGTAATGGGGAGTTCTGCCTTATCAGCTCAGATGAATATCAGACAAGACAATCCAGCCCATTCACCGTGTGCCAACTTTGCCTTCCCGACACCAATACTGGCACCCGGTTCATAAACAGATCATCACACAATCCACACATTGTATGGAGGTCTGTGATTGACATCCTGGAGGCCCAGCTGAGGCTCCCAACAGTGTCCTTCATGAGATGGCTGGGAGGACATCAGACACGTGCATGGAAATATCTTCTCGAAGTTTTGATTCTACAAGTGTCAGTAATTATTTGTAGCTTCTTTTATAGGGTCATGGTTTGTTCTTTTAAAAAAAATTCACTCTTCTCCATTTAAGTGGTTGTAAACCTCAGACATGAAATATGAACAAAGCACATCCCTCTATAGTGTGTACTTGTCTCAATTCACTGCCATCAACATGACTCACTTCTGACAGGTTTTCCTGACACCAAGAGAAAAATGGTGACGGGAAAAACCTCCAGCTGATCGACAGCCTCAGCTACATTCCTGTGAGCTATGTGAAGGGGGAAGGGGTCCCTCCCCTCCCCTTCAATCTGCTCTCAGAGCTCTCCTCATGGAGCTCTGCTAAGTGTAATTTCAGCTCTCCGCCCCCTTTTCTCTGGGGTCTCAGACAGGTTTTATAAATTAAAGTGGCCCTAAAACCCTTCCAAATACCCACAGAGGAGACTGGCCTCAGAAATCAAACAAATAATCCTCTTACATAAGTTGTACCTGTTTATCTGCAGTATTCTCTACATTCATTCAAAGTGCTGAATTTATAAAACCTGTCTGGGAGCTCAGAAAAAAGGGGGCGGACAGCTGAAATTACATTTAGCAGAGCTGAATGAGGAGAGCTCTAAGAGCTAATTGGAGGGAAGGGGACCCCCCCCCTTTTCACATAGCTCACAGGAATTAAGCTGAGGCTGTCGATCAGCTGGAGGTCCTTCCCGTCACCATTTTTCTCTTGGTGTCAGGAAAACCTGTCAGAAGTGACTCATGCTGATAGCAGAGGAAGGAGGCAGTGGATAGATAAAATGGCACTTAGTGCTCTGAATTGAGACAAGGACACACTATAGAGGGGTATGCTTTGTTCATATTTCATGTCTGGGGTGAAAGCGCTTGGTATTGAAGGGGTTAAATATACATTTTAAAGTGTGCGTTATCTGGTGCAAAAATACATGTTGATCCTGCCAGGTATTCCACTCCTCTGTGGACTACAGAACACCTTATGGGTGGGAGGTGTTCTGTCCTAGGGTGACAATGCTTGTCTGTAGATACAGTGCAGTGAGTGAGCGTAGTCACTCTCGGACAGGAAGTCAGTTACTGGCAGGATCACAAGGTGAAAAAAAAAGGGGATAAGCTTGAAAAAAGAAAACTAATGCAGCTACCACACCCAAGGACTGGTAAGCTGCAGTGTATTTTTTTTTTTTTTTTTTTCCTGGGCTTTACTTGAAATTTAAATGGGAGAACTATATCGGCACTCAAGATGGGCCCTTTAAGAGGTTTTAGGGTCATGTGACCACCGTGATTTGCTGTCACAGCAGTCACATGATCAGAAAAGGTCCCGATCGCAATGGAAGATTGGGACCTTTCCATGAGACACCGACCTATGTGCTGGGAGCGCGCAGGGTGTGCTACAAATAGGCGGCCGCTCGGCGTCTAGGCCCAGCCCCCGAGAGGCCGCATATTTGTGCACGGTTGGTGTGAAGGGGTTAAAAAGCTGAGTCTGTGCTTTACCTTTGCCCCGCCCCCCTACTTTTCAGAGCTGAGAAATCCTGTGAAAATTCTGCACTTTGAATGGATGTAGGGGAAAGGTGGCTGTAGATAAACAGGTACAACTTGCGTAGGAGGATTTACCTAATCTATGTGTATCACCTGAGGCCAGTCACTCCACGGGGAATATGGAAGGGTTGTTTACAATTATTTTAGGCTAATAGATCAACCTCCCCCTGCTCTCCTCGGCTCTCACATTCGCCTCCATCTTTGTCTCCTCCGGACAGGCGCCAACCAGTACGATGAGGCCGCCAGCTACATCCAGAGCAAATTTGAAGATCTGAACAAGAGGCGGGACACCAAGGAGATCTACACACATTTCACCTGCGCTACTGACACAAAGAACGTCCAGTTTGTGTTCGACGCCGTCACAGACGTCATCATCAAAAATAACCTGAAGGACTGCGGCCTGTTCTAACCTGAGGTGAGGAGCCGCCCGCGTCTCTGCATGGGCCGGCTGGAGGGTGTCATCGATTGTAGGACAGGTGGGGGGGAGGGGATAGACTAAAATTAATTTTATTGCACACAAATTCAATGTAATCCCCATTTTTTTTGGTACATCATAAAGAATGAGGTCGTGTAGAGGTAATAGATGACAAAGCCTCTAAACTGCATGCGCCCACAAAGTGGCGCAAAAATGAAGGCACCAGAAATTATCAACAGGCGACAGTTTATATACCCTTACAGCTCATCAGCTTAGAATAGACTGTGAATGATGGACCGAGAATTATTGCTCTCCCTCTGACTGTCGTGCCAAAATATAAAGCATAAAATAAAAATATATAGAGTATATAAAGTATAACATATATAAAGTATATTTATATTTTATACTTTATATTTGTATACTTCATATTTATGCTTTTATACTTTATTTGTATACTTCATATACTTTATTTTTGTACTTCATATTTATTTTATACTTCACATACTTTATATATTGTATACTTCATATTTATATTTTTATATTTCACATACTTTATATATTGTATACTTCATATTTATATTTTATACTTCACATACTTTATTATTGTATACTTCATATTTTATATTTTATACTTCATACTTTATATATTTATATTCATATTTATTTTTTACTTCACATACTTTATATATTGTATACTTCATATTTATAAAAATTATATTTACACATAAAATCTTTAATATTGGAGTATAAAATTAAATATTTATATTTTAAAAGTATGTGAACATAAAAATATATATGAAGTATACTTTATATATTTATATTTTATACTATCACATACTTTAATATGAAGTATAAAATATATACAGTATAAAAATATAAAGTATAAAATATATACAGCATAAAATCTAAAGTATGTGAAGTATAAAATATAAATATGAAGTATACAATATATAAAGTATGTGAAGTATAAAATATAAATATGAAGTATACAATATATAAAGTATATGAAGTATAAAATATATAAAGTAAAGTATAAAGTATATGAAGTGTAAAGTATAAAATATATAAAGTACAAAATATAAATATATACTTCATATACTTTATATATTTTATACTTCATATATTTTATACTTTGCTTTATATATTTTATACTTCATATACTTTAAAGTATATTTATATTTTATACTTTATATTTATATATTTTATACTTCATATAAAATATATAAACTATATGAAGTATATAATATATAAAGTGTAGTGAAATTGTGGTCGCAGTTTACATGCAAATGTGCATTTCCAGGTGTGTGCAGGGTGACAGGGTTACTTTAGGTTCTGTTTTTTGTTTTGTTTTAATTATTAAATTTTGTTTTTTTTTGTTTTTTTTTTTTTTACTCTTTGAATTTTTTCTTTTTTTTTGCGCAGGAAGATGAGGTTGTTTAGCCTTTTTATGCATTTCATTTACTTATAATAAATTTTTTTCAGTTAAAGTGATATTAAAGGTATCTTTTAAAAAAACAAACATGCTGTACTTACCTACTCTGTGTAATGGTTATGCACAGAGCAGCCCCAATCCTCCTCGGGTCTCCCCACCGGTGCTCCTCGCCCCTCCCTCATGCCAGGTGCCCCCAGAGCAAGCAGCTTGCTCTGGGGGCACCCAAGCAGGCTTGCTCCCTAGCTGCTGCTCTGCGTGTTCATTCACAAACAGAGCCGCTGCTCGCCCTCCTCGCCTTTCCTCTTTGGCTCACTGGCTGTGATTGACAGCAGCTCCCACTGCTGTCCCAGCCCATGAGGAGGGAGAGTCGCCAGATGGCCGAGGCTCTTGTGAACATTGCTGGATCGCAGTGGGGCTTAGGTAGGTATTGGGGGGGTTGGGGCGGGGCTACTGCACACAGAAGATTTTTTACCTTCATGTATAGAACAGATGCAGCTACAAAACCTGGAGCCTTTTCAACCACTTCTGCTTTTTTGCTATCACAAGGGGCCTGACATGCCCCCTATTTGATAGCATTGGGCAGGTGACGGGTCCTCTTTATTAGATCCCTGATATCTCCCATGCAGGTAATCAAGCACAGATCTTACTTGATTAGCTGCCTCCCTGGCTGTAGCAGCCCCAGGGAATGATGGCTCAGAAACCAGAAACGCCCAGAGCTGAGCACTTCCAGGTTCACAGGCTGCAGACCCATTCCCCAATCTCCTCCAACCCGCCATCCTGATGCTGTTTTGATGTGGTCGTGGGTGCCAAGGAGGAGCAGGAGAACCCGGGGAGTTCCATATCGCCCTCACTGTAAAAGTGATCCGGGCTGCTATACAGCCACCTGGATCACTTTTACATTACAGTGGTGAGTTGGCTGAAGAAGATCAACACGTGGCTAGAAACCAGGAGCTAGCATTCCAGCCTTCATACCCTGGGTGTAAATAGTACACCCAAAGAGCTAAAATAGTACATCACCCCCCCCCCCCCCCCCTCCCAGGGAAAAAATAAGCCCCACCGGTCTCTTTCAACCTACTCTGGGTCCCACAGCCCAGAGTAGGTTGAAAGAGGTAGTGGGCTATGGCACGCAGAGTAGGTTGAAGGAGATGGTGGGCTATGGCACCCAGAGTAGGTTGAAGAAGACTGGTGGGCTATGACACCCAGAGTAGGTTGAAGGAGATGGTGGGCTATGGCACCCAGAGTAGGTTGAAGAAGACTGGTGGGCTATGACACCCAGAGTAGGTTGAAGGAGATGGTGGGCTATGGCACCCAGAGTAGGTTGAAGGAGATGGTGGGCTATGGCACCCAGAGTAGGTTGAAGGAGATGGTGGGCTATGGCACCCAGAGTAAGTTGAAGGAGACTGGTGGGCTATGGCACCCAGAGTAAGTTGAAGGAGACTGGTGGGCTATGGCACCCAGAGTAAGTTGAAGGAGACTGGTGGGCTATGGCCACTAGAGTAGGTTGAAGGAGATGGTGGGCTATGGCACCCAGAGTAAGTTGAAGGAGACTGGTGGGCTATGGCCACTAGAGTAGGTTGAAGAAGATGGTGGGCTATGGCACCCAGAGTAGGTTGAAGGAGATGGTGGGCTATGGCACCCAGAGTAGGTTGAAGGAGATGGTGGGCTATGGCACCCAGAGTAGGTTGAAGGAGACTGGTGGGCTATGAAACACAGAGTAGATTGAATGAGACTGGTGGGCTATGGCCACTAGAGTAGGTTGAAGAAGACTGGTGGGGCTTTCTCCCCAGGGGGAGGGGTGATGTACTTGGTGGGCACCATCACTCTCCAGAGTGATGCCGTAAACCACACTCATGTCACCAGTGCCGGGACAAGGTCACCCAGCACCCATGGCAAAGATGCCAAACTGCACCCACCCACCTATTCATGATGATCCTACAGCCAGCAGTCACTCACTTGTCAAAATCACTGCCACTACTCCTGTCAGCCTTGTAACAGCAGAAAGGCGCCTCCTATCCCTACAGTAAACTATTGCGCCCAGGGCAGCCTCCCCCCCTGCATATCACTACAAAAAAAGGTAATTTCTGCATAACTGAAAACTGCTGATTTTGGGTGGAAGGAGAGGACCCCAGGAAGTCATAACCAGACCAAAGATGGCCCCAGAAATATTAACATTTTTATAAAAGGAAGGGGGGTGATTTGGAGCGGGGAAGTGTGAACTGTAAACTGACACATGATCTTGTAAGACCTCTCCGGCCCTGAAGGGGTCAGTAATGATTTCCTGTGGTCCTGACTGTTTTTTTTTTTTCTTCTCTCTCTGCAGAGCTGCCGGCCATGTTGACCAGATCGGGAAGCAGAGACCCTTTTGCCCCTCTGTGGATTTTCCGGTTTTTATCCCGAGTGTCTCATTTTGTAATTAACCTTTTCTTTGCTGGATGAAGACTGCCTCCACCAAGCGGTCCTCTTGTGTATCGCTGAGTTTGTGCCGGCATATTACCCCCCCCCATCCCCCCCATCCCCGCCCCCCCCTGGCTCTCGCCCCTGGAATTCTGCCCCCCTGCCTCTGGAAGAGCCCACGGGACGCCTGGTTTGCCTAATAAGATGGCCTTACAGCACTCCTGGCGGAGGCAGGGCGGCGGGTGGAGGACGGCAGAGATCGGGGTGTCCAATACGCAGCCATCTCTTCTCCGCGATCAAGTCGGACTTTTTTTCATATTTCGTCTTTTATCACTGTAGATCCAGAAGCTTTGTCTGTGCATGCAAGGGTTAAAAGGCAATTATTAACTCCTTGATTACAAGGAAAAAGCACAAAGCGGGCCGGAATCTGCAAGCCGGGGAAGCGGAGGGCAGGTTTTAACCCTTTCTGTTCCGGGCTGTACCTCCTGCCTGGGCCTGCAGACTTCTCCGGCTCACGCCAATGAATTTGTCATACGAGACCATTCCCTGTGTACAAGAACCCCCCCCCCCCCCCCCTGCCAGGTGGGGTCTACAGCACAACGGCTGCCTTCCCCCTCCGTGCTGACGGCCATTTATTTGTTGCACTTCACCGATGAAGGTTTAACCCCCTCCACACCATCTCACATTCCTGTAACAAGAAAAGATGTAATAATTTTAAATAAGAATGAAGAGTAGGCGGTAGGCCCAGGCGGAGGTTCTGCTCTGCTGTTTGGGGCGGAGGACCCCCCAGGCGATAGAAAACAGTAGCTTTTGTGCCTTCAGCGGTTCTCTGTGTGTTTTTTTTTTTTTTTTTAAATATATTTTATTTTTATCTTATTAAATATTGTAACTTTAGCTCAGCACATAACAGGATAATATTAAGAGTCTCTCTCACTTTTATCAACTTTCCTGTCTGAAAACAGACCTGTTACCAGAAAACTCTACCCCGTCCAACTTTCTTCTGCTGCATTAAATTTTCTCCCATCTCCAGATCCTGCAACATTCTCTTCCTCCCGTCTCCGGATCCTGCGACCTTCTCTTCCTCCCGTCTCCGGATCCTGCGACCTTCTCTTCCTCCCGTCTCCGGATCCTGCGACCTTCTCTTCCTCCCGTCTCCGGATCCTGCGAC